CTCCGATTTCATTCCTTTGTTAGAGGCAGAAGAAAATTGGAAGAGAAATCAAGTTTCGTTTTTATTTCTTTGCGGGAGGCAGAGAAGAAAATTAGAAGGAAATAAGTTTCAATTTTATTTCTTTGCTGCAGAGAAGAAATTTGGAAGTGATAATTTTCAGATTTCTCTATTGGAAATAAAGAAAATTTTCTCCTATTAACCAAAAAAATCTTGCTGCACGCGGAGATGTTACAAGACGCAGGAAAGACAAGGAAAGTGAATCTACTGCTGCATTCGGGAAAGGAAAGATTTCTTTCTAGAAGAAAAGCAGAGACAGAGCTTTTCTGGAAGGAAACGAAAACATAGCTTTTCTAAGAAGGAAAACATAGTTTTTCTAGAATGAAAAATGAGCTTTTCTGGAAAGCGGAAGCGGAGCTTTTCTTGGAAGTTTAAGGAAAAGGATTTCTGAGAAAGTTTAATTAAGAAAAATTTAATTAAGAGAAAGTCTTTTTTCTGGGAAACTTAATTAAATGAATCTTAATTAAGAGATTACTTAAAAGGATTTGTGGCCTAACCCACATTGGTGCATAAGAAACTCAATGATGTATTTTCTCCTAAGGGGCTGGATATTCGCCAATGTGGAGATTTGTTAGGCATATGTACTTCTCCTAAGGGGCTGGATATTCGCCAAGGTAAAGATTTTTTGAGTATATGTATTTCTCCTAAAGGGGCTGGATATTCGCCAAGGTGGAGATTTGTTAGGTATGACTCATAATAACATAATTTGGAGTATCTTGGAATGAAGAGATGTCTCTTGGAATTGAAGAGGAGTGTCTCTTGGAATTTAGTGAGTTGAGGGGAGCGAGGGTGCAGCGGAAGCGTGGTGACCCAACCCACACTAGTTCATAAGAAATTCCATGATGTATTTTCTTCTAAAGGGTTGTATATTCTCCATGGTGGAGAATTGTTGCACATATGTATTTCTCAGTTTCTCCTAAGGGGCTGGATATTCGCCAAGGTGGAGATTTGTTAGGCATATGTATTTCTCTTAAAGGGTTGGATATTCACTAAGTTATAGATTTGTTGGGTGTATGTATTTCTCTTAAAGGACTGAATATTCTCAGTTATAGATTTGTTGGGTGTATGTATTTCTCTTAAGGGACTGAATATTCTCCAAGGTGGAAATTTGTTAGGTATGACTCATATACCAAAAATGGGACAACTGCTGAAGCGGAGCGGAGCGGAAAGATTTGTCCAATCGGGGGAGTTTCAATAATCGGGGGAGTTTCATTATGTGGGTTGGGGGTGCGGGGGCAACACCCCGCGATTTGGTACATGTGTAATTTAAGTAATTACATATTGTACTAAATGGTTATATATATGTCATGTTTGTAACCTTAAGGGAGTCAGAGACTCTGATATTCTGAATATTGTATTATGTACTCTTTTCTGAATATTAAAGAAAGTCGTCGCTCTGCTCCCGAGGATCTAAGCATCTCTGTCGAATCTCGTAAATCTCTGCATGTTCTTTTGGATTTGTGTTGATTCTTGTTTTTTTTTTATTTGCCCATATTTCTCAACAAAAATCCTATATTACTTGAGCGATATTGTCGGTCACCAAATCAGGGGATCTCTTGTTTGCTTTGAAGTTATATTTAATATATATATATATCTAATTTTGAAAAGTGACATTTTAAGACTGAGTCGATCCCATATCTTTAATAGTTTAAGTAATCAAACACAGCACCACAAGCAATGCATTAATTCCGATGAATAAAACATATTATTGGATAGTGAGATTCAATTAAACAAATTAGTGAATTTATGACATCTATTTTGCTGTGATACTCTTATGTTCGACAACAAATTCTCCTATCTAGTATAATGATTGGATAATGTTTTATTACTTGATTTCTAAAATTTTCTATAAGAGCAAACTTCTATAGTTAATTACTGCTTAAATAACCGATGTCATTTAAAAAAACTTTTCAAGATGTTTAAAGTTTAGGTTTTCAAGGTACTTTGTAAGAAATAACAAGTGGGAAAGAATCAAGTGAGAAGAGTGATTTTTTGAATCAATGTAGTGAAGGCTAGGGGACGTTACGGGACTGTGACGAACCTCAGTGACTTCCCAAGCTATTCTATTGTTTGCTTATACATTTTCAAAGTAAACTTATTTATCATTCAAACCTACCAATTTTTATTATATAGGGCTTACATTTATATAATATCGATCATGCAAATAACAAGAAAAAATAGAAGGGTTTATGACGTATCGAACGACAACCTCAGAACAAAATTACTCCATTATTTGAAAAACTTACTCTAGGTTTTCTTTTAATGTATCTTATAAATTTCACAACCATTAAAACTTGGAGTTAGTTTTTCAAATCGAGTGTTTCAGAACATATTTTAATTAGCTTTTTTATTATTATCATTAAAAAAAGGGCAATTACAAACATACCACCCAAAATTTGCTATTTACAAATCAACCACCTCTTTCATGCATTTTTCAAATTCTCTCTCAATCATCAAAGTTCATGATAAACCCCCAACCCATATTGTTCATTTTTATTTATGGGAATTATAAATACATCAGTCCCGTAGTTCAAAAAAAATCACGTGGGTGATTAATTTATAAATACGAATATTTTAGGTGGCATCCATGCAATTATCTCAAAAAAATATTTGAAATGAAATTATTTAATCTCACACATCTCATTTAATATGAAAAAGAAATGATTTAATTTATTTTTAGCTAATATATTAATCTTCAAAATTTATTTAAAATTTTAAAATCTATCTCAAACTAATTCTCGCCCGCAAATGCTAACATAATTTATTTTTATTCATGAATTATTAATAACAATATATGCTAATGTAAGTTTCTGCTATAGATTTATGGTAAGAAAAACTCGGCTCAAAATATGTACTCTCATCTCGAACATCTCTCTCTCTCACTGTATATATATTCTTAAATACATCTTAAATTTACGAGTTCAAGCTAGTCCATGATTTATTTAATATAAAAAATATAAAATAAAATTAATTTAAGTTAATTTTATAATAAATTGATAGATAGAAGGAATAACTATTAAATAAATAATAAGAAATCAACTAATACAGAATACATATTATTATTTTTTAATATTTTTAATACCTTAAATATAAAAGTTTGAAATTTAATATATTTTTAGTTTATTTTATGTTATTTTTTTTTAAATAGAGCCAGCTCATGAGCTAACGAGTTGAGTCGGGTTTGGCTGGAGCTTGGATTGTTAGCTCATCAAGCACAGTTCAGGAGCCACTTATTGGGCCGAGCTCGAGCCGACTCACGAGCTCTAATGTTGTTATTCAATAAATTTTGTTTTAAAAAGTATCAGTTAATTAAAATATTTTTTTAAAATGTCGGCTACTCTGCTTAAAAATTTACTCGTAGGAATGTGAATTTAGCTCTCACTCACTCGAAAATCGATTCGAACTGTGGCTCAGATTGAGATTGGAACAAAATAAATGAGTCGCGCTATGAGTTGAAACTTCGGATCTACTTTTTTTCGAGCCGATGTTGAGCCATACATTGATCAGCTCAAACTGACTCAAGATCAGCTCCTCTTACTTTTTATTTATAAAAATTATATATATAATGCTAACCAAAATTTAACATAACAAGTCACGAGCCAATTTCGAGTCAGAATGAATACAAATAATTGAATTCGAGTCATTTAGTTTCAATTTTGAGCTTAAACAACCCAATTCCGAGCCCAAATAAATCCAAATAACTCAATTTTAGCTAGCCCTTTTTGATTTCGAGCCCGCTTAACCGGAAATCAAATATTACGGGCGAAAAGCCTATTTTGAGCTGCACAAAATTTATTTGAGCTCAAAATTGGTTCTTTAAAGGAAATACAAGATGATACAAATAATAAGTGTTAAATATAAAATTTTTTATATTTTTTAGCATTAGGTAACAAAAAAAAAATAAAGGGACATTTACGTTATGCTTACATTTCTAATGCCTAAGCTTTGTTATATACATGCATGGCTCTCAAAAGTCAAATCTTTATTATTACATCCAAAATATAATTAATATTAAATTTTTAAAAGCCCAATACACCTTTTTTATGTGTATTATTCTAATACTAATGATATTAATATAAACATCAAAATTAAGTGCTAGATATATAAATACATGAGAATTTCGTGACTTGTATGTAATTTTTTTCATAATTTGTTAAGAAGGAAAAGTATCATAGGTTCCTATAAATATTTAATTTGAAACTCCTTAATTAAGAATCTCTAAATATTTAAATTATTTTATAAAATTAAAAAAATATGTATATTTACACCTATGATATTGATATTTTATAAAAACATACGAAATTTAGAAAATATTAAGGGGCGTTTGAGGCAGCTTATAGGTTGCAGCAGCTTTTCAAGACGCTGTTTTTTTGTTTGAACATCGGATTGCCCTTAGAGCTGTCAAAACGGCTCGTTGTTCGCGAACAACTCGTGTTCGGCTCGTTAATTTCGTTCGATAAGTTAACGAGCCAAACACGAACTAAGATGTGTTCGTTCGTGTTCGGCTCGTTTTGGCTCGAAATACTGCTCATCAATATATATAAAGTAGTATTTTAAAAAAATCTAATTGACTACAAGGCTACAAAAATTTATAATCAATTAAAATATTGATTAAGAAAACATAATAAAAATTATTAAATTAGATTCAAATAATGTTTTAATATAAATAATAATTTTTAAATCTTGTTTAAACCCTTATTATCTTATGGCGACATGATTAGGGTTGTTCAAATGACTCGTTGTTCGTGAACAGCTCGTGTTCGGCTCGTTAGCTTAACGAGCCGAACACGAACACACTTTTTAAGCTCGAAATATAAATGAGCCGAACACGAGCTAAGCTTGGCTCGCTCGTGTTGGGCTAGTTTACACCCCTCAAATTTTTGGTGTCGCGGCTATTTTCTTCATATCTTCGCGATATCACCTATACACCACACTTATAAGAATAGACGAAAGATAATATTTTCTCAAATCAAAACAACAAATAAAAAAAATAAAAATGAAATAGTTCAATCGCCGGAGCCGGCGGAAGAAGCCGAGGAAGATTCCGATTTCTCAGGCCAGACACTAATCCTCTCCTTCTCAAACTTGATGAACAGGGCACTGACGGCAATAATAGTATAGATTTGTATAAGAAGTACCGGCGGCGTATGGTAGCTAAAAATCCCTTTCCCACTCCCAAGCTCCACCAAAACCACCGCCGCTAACCCTAGCCCAGCAATCCGCCCATTAATCCGTTCACTGTAAGGCGTAAACCCTACTTCCACCTTCTCCCCGCTCACCGTCACCGCTTCTCTTAGCGGGACAGGCGGTAGCATAACTCCCTTCCCCTTCTTACCTCCAACACCGCCGCCGCCGGATTTCCGCGCTCGCCGCTGCTCCGCTTTCTTCCCCGTGCCGCTCCGGTACTTAATCCTCATCTGAGACAGACGGTTCTCGAATTCACTTTCTTCGATGCCTCCGTCGTCGGGCGGCGCCGGAGGTTTGCCGTCATCGGCGGCGCGGCGGCGCTGCGAGGAGGATGGGGGGAGAGGGAGGATTTTGGGGGTTTTTTAGGGTTTAAGGATGCGGGCAAGGTGAAGGCGAAGGGATTAGGGATTTGGAGCGGAGGGGGGAGGATGGAGGTCATCGCCGGGGTTTTTCACGATTTCTGAGTTATTATTATTATTATTATTTTTTTTTATGAGCCATTCGGTTGGTTCGAATAGATCTAAAGTTATGAAGGTCGTGGACAAGGGGCGAGCTACGTCGCGTATGGATATGTAGGGCCGGCAAATTTGCTTCGCGCCACCTATTTTTTATGTATTGACATATCTTCCTTTTTAAAATTTGATATTTATATTTATAACATTTGCATATATAAAAATCATTTTTATGTATTTATACTCACACAAATAGGGATGTAAACGAGCCGAACACGAGCAAGCCAAGTGTTTGGCTCGTTTATATTTCGAGCTCAAAAAGTGTGTTCGTGTTCGACTCGTTTATTTAACGAGCCTACCAATAGCTGTTCACGAACAAAGAGTCATTTTAATGGCCATAATCATGCAGTCATAAGACAATAAGAGTTTCAACAAGATTTAAAAATTATTATTTATATTAAAACATCATTTAAATCTAATTTAATAATTTTTATTCTATTTTCTTAATTAATATTTTAATTGATTATAAATTTTTGCAGTATATATATATATACACACACACACACACACGAGTAGTATTTCGAGCAAAACGAGCCGAACACATCTTAGTTCGTGTTCGGCTCGTTAACTTATCAAATGAAATTAACGAATCGTGCACGAGCTTCTTAACGAGTCGAACACGAGCTGTTGGCGAACAATGAGCCGTTTTGACAGCCCACACGAGCTGTTCGCGAACAACGAGCCAATTTGACAGCCTGACACACAAAATCTTATTACTCAAATTTTAAATATTACGTAGAAATATTATTATTATAATTTTTTAAATTTAACTAATATCTTTTTCACGTGCATTTAAGTAAACTAGTAAATCATTAAAATCATTTATATATCAATATATCTATATATTTCATAAACTTTAGATCAATAATCATATCTATAAATTTTCAAGAATATAATCTTATAATTTAAAAATAGTAAAGAATTTCACAAATTAAGAGGAATTCTGTCCCTCCCGGCCTAGTACTGCTCATAAGAGCTCTTTCAATTGCCGTTATTGCTCCTGCCGCCGTGCACCGAAGGCCTGAAGTGATGCGAACTGTGATCCGAATGGCGAGTATTTTTCCGCACATTGGAACCCACCGGATTCCGCAGCTCCGCCGGGGGTTTTCGTGCTTTGCCGACGCTTCATCGAAGGTTTGTCTGCTTAATGGCTGGCTAATCTGTCTAAATATATCCTTATGCCCTAAAAATGTTACCTCTACTACGAACCCCATCAAATCCAGGAAGCTATCGGGTGAATGGTGGATTTCGTAGGGAAAACAGTAGACGTGGCTTGTAGGAGTAAAATTAAGTTGCCAGGGTTTAAGGTTTAGTCATTCAGGAGTGTCTGTGTGGGGTGACAGATTTTGAAATTGTAGGGTAGAGGGTGCATGCCGTAGATGGTCCATCCAAGAAATGAATGACAATGGCATATTGTTTACCTTAAATAAAATGCCTGAGTCTAAGGATTGCCGGAAGTCTGCATGGTCACAACAACTGGAAGATCAGCTGCTGGTGTTAAATCTCATTGAAGGGAGTTATTTTAGAACTTACCTGGTTAATGCACAGTTTGTCATCGGGAGAATTCCTGGTTTCATTTGTTCTCTGCTATGTTACAGTCTTTATCTTGTTTTGTTTTACTGTATTAGGGGTGTAAACCAGCTGAGCTTGAGGGTGCCCAATGTTTGTTCAAAATTTTTTTGGCTCGAAATAGACTCTATTTGAAATGACTAGTGAATTGTATGCTCGTATTTGGCTTGATTCAAATTCATTTGTTTATTTCATATCATGTTCGACTCGAAATAAAAATTTATTGAAGTTTAATAAATCAAAATAATATAATTGAATTTCAAAAATCAATTTTTTATTTAAACCCCTTTCATAGGGAGGAAAAGTACTGGTCCAATTTTGCATTCACAGCCTCATGACTCGTACGTAATTAAACTTTCAAACCCTTGCACTTGGTTTTTTTATTTAATCAACACTCATCAATAACTATTCCCCGATGTGGGACTAAATACAAAAAACATTGGGGGTTGGAGGGGAGGGGAGGGGGGGAAGGTGAGGGGACAAACCAAATCTTTAATATCATATCAAAGATACTACAATTTAACGTTTAAAATGTGAAATGCACCTTTTGATGCCTAGATAAGGTGACATATGTGTAAAAATTGAATTTTATGTATTAGATATCTAAATACAAAAGAATTGAGCGGTATGCATGTAAATCTTCCAAAATTCTATCTCTTTTAATTGTTTTTTTTTGTAACTTTTGCATTACAAAATTCTTCAGCTTTTTTGAGACACTTGAGAGAAATTATTGTTTTTGAGTTAATAATAAAAAAAGAAAATTAATTTAAATTTAGTTATTTTTAAATTAAATTATAAATTTAGTTATATTTATAATAGTTATCATCGAGCTTTAAAAATTTAATATAGAAATATTATTATAAATTTATTTATTATTTAAATAATTCAAGCTAAAACGAGTCAAACACGATTGACCAAAAGTTTTTTCTTGTTCGACTCATTTATAAAGTAAGCTAAAAAAATTTATCATGTTTGACTTATTTGTTTAACGAACGAATTGAAACAAGCTACTTAGCGAGCTAAACATAAGCTTTTGTGAACGACGAACTATTTTGATAGCCCTAACCATTTACGAAAGGTGAACGACGAACTATTTTGATAGCCCTAACCATTTATGAATTGGTATTTACTAGGATGTGCGGGATTGTCAATTCAGAAAATCCCTCAAATTGTTTAAAATCGTGTGATATGGCCTTACTTTTGTGATATATTTTCAGGATACTCCACAACCATTCAACGAATGTGATGAATTTATGACATGGCTAAGGAAGAAGACTGGCCTTGAGATATCATCAGTGTTATCTATTGGAAATTCTCGTTATGGCAGGTTTTCCATTTCACCGGCTCTTTCTTCTTTGTTTGTGCATGCATGAAGTGATTCCTTAGAAAGGATTAAAGAAATTGATCAGAACTTATGTACATGTTCTCTTAGAAGTTTAATTCATATTTAATGTACTGCATCCATTGATGAAGCTCAATTCAATTGATGTAAAATCACTTGTATTTTTCTTTTTATCAGCACATCTGAAACACTTTTTTATAATGGTGTGTTACATTCAAAGTTGTTTTTTACTCCCAATTTCTTAGGTTTCAAAATATTTTTGGAAGTCTCTTAGCCCAATACTTGTATTTTGGCTGCCAGATTAATCATTAATCATAAATTGACCACTTAAACCTCAGAGAGTTGAACTTTACTATAAGGCCGCTGTGAGGTATAGGGAACAAAATTTGAATAATGGAAATTTTTTATATATTGGTGCGTTATTTAATCAACCTCTTGGTTGTTTAAATACGAGTATTTGAGCATTGTACATTCAGATTAAGGGCCCGTTTGGGGCAGCTTAATTAGCGCGGTGCATTCTAAAAGCACCGGATGAAGCGTTTGGAAATAGCGGTGCGACAACGTTCCTTAAAAAATTATGTTAAACGCGGGTCGCGGGGTTTCTTCGCGATTCTATTACTCTACTACCCTCTCGTGCTCCCCTCTCACTGCTGACCTCTCTCTTGCGTTTCTCGTAACTTAGTCACGCCTCTCCGATCGCTCTTCTCTCGCACCTCTCTCCGGTGGCAACGAGTTGCCTTTCTTCTTTCCCTCTTCCCTCCGATCTCTGGTGGCAACAGATTGCCTCTCTACTCTCCCCTTCCCTCTGATCTCTGACTTTCTCTCTGTTATTGAGCTCTCCGTCCTCCCACGGTATCATCTATTTTTTTCAATGAAATGACTTTCTCTTTGCGATTTGTGACTTTTTTATTTGTGGTTTAAAGTGATCATTTAGAATTTGCTATTTCTGGATTTCTCATTTGCGGTTTGAGGTGAGGATTCAGATTTTGCGATTTGTGGCTTTCTTTTTATGATTTGGAAGTTGAATTTTGCAAATTTGCTGCTAAATGTGATATGGAATGGAGTTTTATCTATATTTTTGATGTTTGAGTGAGAATGTGAGATATGACTGAAAGAGGGTGTTTGATTTGTTGTTAGTAATGTTTCGAATGCCCTGTATGTAGCAGCTACAAATAAAAAAGGGGGTGGGGGGGGGGGGGGGGTTTATCTTTACTTTTAATGTTTGAGTGAGAATTTGAGAAATGGCTGAAAGAGGGTGCTTAAATAGCAATGGTTCGGGTGCCTTGTATGTAATTGCATCAAATGAAAGATGTAGGGTGAGTTTTTATCTATACCTTTGATATTCGAGTGAGAATTTGAGAAATGACTGAAAAAAAGTGATTGATTTGTTGATAAAAATGTTTCATGTGCCCTGTATGTTAGAGTCTCAAATGAAAAATATGGGGTTGGGGTTTATCTTTACCTTTGAGTGAGAATTTGAGAAATTGCTGAAAGAGGATGCTTGATTTGTTGATAGCAATGTTTCAGTCACTGTGTATGTAAATGCATCAAATGATAAATATGGGGTGGGGTTTTATCTTTAACTTTAATGTTTTGGTGGTGGTGTACGTTGGTTTGTGTGTGGAGGTGGTGGTTGGTGTGTGTGATTGTGTTTGTATTAGAGAATGTGTTGGTGGATGTGTGGAGATGGTGATTGGTGTGTGGTTTTGTTTGTGTTAGAGGATGTGTGGTGAATGTGTAGAGGTGATGGTGTTGTGGAGGTGGTGGTTGGTGTATGGTTGTGTTTGTGTGAAGATGGTGTGTGGAGGTTGTAGTGGTAGTGCTGTGTATGTATTGATGTTTAGATGTGTTGATGTGTGGAGGTGGTGACAGTGGTGATGTGTAGGCGGTGTTGGAATGTGTTGTGGAGGGGCATTGGTAATGATATTTGTGACATTCCTATGTTCTTTGAGTTACGAAATTGTGGCATTCCCATTTATGTTAATTAGTTTTTTTCATGCTAATAATA